GCGTCTCAAGCGTATATATGATACTGATCAAATGCAAGAAACGAAAAAAAGGAAAAATTACTCAGTCTCCTCGGAACATTTGCTCTATGGAAGGCCGTGTTTGGTTCAATCGAGAAGAACATTAAATGTTACTCGGTGTTTTAGTTCGTAATAGATACACATTCACGATACCTTTTTGTCTTTCTCTGTTCTTTTTTTTAAACTTTTTCTATTTTTTTTATTTTTTTTTATTTTAATTTCAATGACAATGGTAAGACGATGGATTATCGATAATAACGGTGCTTCACACTTTACACTCGCAACAGGACAAGAAATGACGAATTTCACGTACTGGACCGCAATAATTACAATTTTATCTTTTCTGAATGTGCAATTCGATTTACAAACATTGCTTCACGATAAAACATTATTGATTGCTTCTTACTAATGTAACACACTTGAGAGGTATTATCAAGCGGTTTATTGGATTTAGTACGAAGCAGCCATAATGTTCATCGAGAACGATAGTATCGATGAGACTCACGATTGCGTCGCGAAATTTTCACTTTCGAGAGTCAGTTAGCCATAAGAAGTGAACATCGTCGAGATATGCGTTTACACTCGTCAATGAACCATTAACAATCATCGTTACAGTAGTATATACGTATAATATGTAGTTTGTACAACACTGCTAGAAAAATTAATTGACGATCATGTTTGAAGTAAGTAGGAGAGGGTAATCGATTTATCGGCAACGTCGAATATAAAGTGTGAATCAAATAGAAGATATGTTGTTACAGAGCTCGTAACACCGACTATATATCGTTTGGAATCAAACTGGTATTTTCAGTACTCAATATACACCGTGCTTTTTCGTAATTTTGTGTCAGTATGCGCGTTCACTCCTGTTCAGAAATATTAGGACACTTACTGAATCTGAAGCAAACCTAAAGAGTCATTACAAAATTATTAAAATCCTAAAAAAATGATTCAGTCTGAAATCTCGTAGTATAAGAGTACTACATATATTTTTACTGATATATGTATAATACTAACTTTAGTGATGAAATATAATTTAAATCATATAATACTTTCTGTGCAAACATAATGGGTGTCCTAATACTTATGAATGGCAGTTCATTTGTATATCTCTCTTGTGCTTCGTTTTTTTTGCAAATCAAACAAAAAGGATGAAATATATATATGTATATATAAGTATGAGTCATATGAACAAGCTTGATCGAACTTTGTTCACTCTCTTTGTTCAACACATTGTATATCATTAACAATATATCCGTGAAAGGAATGGTTAAGTTATAAAATTACGTCTCTTCAGCCTCGTCTTTCATTCTAAATTCGCGTATCCTAAATTCACCTAACTGCTCACTACGCCATCTCTCATTTCATGCCAGAATTCTTCCTTTTCCCATCTTCGATTCTACTACGTTTGTCTACCGGATTGTGTGTTATGTCTATCTTCGAGCTAACTCATGGAAAAATCTATTTTTCGTCTTTTCTTTTCTTTTTTATTTTCTCTTCTTATTAATCAGTCGGAAATTGTAGTGAACCAAGTTTGAGGGTAATTTGATTCCTTTGACTACGATTGTTCTCAATGATTTCAGTCGTCGCGCGGTTCGTCTACACTGCGCGAGAGAAGAGCCTTAAAACTGTGTAACTTCACTGTTTAACGGAAATTTTACAAGAGCACGTTGAAGTTGTAAAGTTGCAATGTTTTTTATTCATCGACTTTTGCTTGAGACACTTGGAAAGATGTCGTGAGAAAGAAAAATTAACTGAATTTCATCACACGTACATCAACAATGTCGGTGAAACGATTAAGACGTTAATTCAAAGGGCTATTGTCTCTTCAACGAGCTCTTGCAGGTCGTGAATAGTCTTTCTGAGCACCGTATTTCTTAGAGTAAAAGTAGTCTTTCTTTGTTCGCTTCTTGAGCACGTATTGCTGTGTCTGACAAAAAAGACAGAATAGCCGAAAAAGAAGAGGACGTCAGAGAGGGAACGTTCGCCAAGAAAGCGTGAAATTTGTAGTTTTTTTTGCGTATACGTGAGTCCGAAAACGTCAGTTCGTTACCCTCTTTTCTCGTGTTAGATTAGTAGGATCTTTTTCTTTCTTCCAATACGTTCTCGATTGTTTCGCGTGAGTCTGTTGTACATCGAGTTGGAGTGGTAAATTTAATAGACTAGACGATGCTGATAAGGGTAGCTTCGTGATTGAGGGTTTATTTGGAACTGTGTTACGCCGGAGTAAGGATCGTACGACTGAAAAAGATAATTATTCCATATAAATTTCAATAATTGAAAACAATATTTCCAAAATTAATTTTATTAATTTTGCAAATTATCTTCAGGTTAGTTTCGAAGTATTACTTGAGAGCGTTTTCTGGTGACCATAGACCTCTTCTCTGGAGTTTTGTAGTAAGTCTGCTGAGGATAAACCAGGCCGTATTGCGGGCTGCCGTATTGAGAGGAGCCGTCGTATTGTTGCCCGTACTGGTTTTCGTATTGTTCGTAATAGCTGGATGGATGGGTACGTACAATTCCTATGTCTGATGGTGACAAGGAGTCTATGCTGTAGTGACGAGGGGGATACACTGCGGAATCCATCCATGGAATAACTATATAGTGTTCAATTCATAGAATTACAATCTATACAATCATAGAAATACAATCGTTTTATTCTTATCGGTATAATTCGAATTTAAATGCTTTAATCCTGTAAATTGTTTTTGTAATGTAGCAAATTAATTTTGCAATTCGTTAGATTTCTTTATAGGATGTACCTTACCCTTTAAAAATTATATTTCTTTTGTATATTAATATATGATTGAACGTACTATTTCGTGGATCCTCATCTTCAAGAAGATTGTCCTCATCTTCCACGTTATCGTATTCCTCGTTCATATACTTGTGCCAGTTTCTACAGAAATATAACGGATTAATTTAAATTCCAAATATATTCCTATCGTTTGCAAATTAATTGATTTGTACCTCTTACGACGTTCGTTTTCCCATAAAGAGAGAAGCGTTAGCACGTCCTCCGGATCGATGTCCAATTCCCTCTTGAATCGCGGCTCTTGATAAATGGGAACGCTTGAAATACCAAATCAGGTAATTTATATCATTCGCTTTCTTCATTTAAGAAAAACAAAAATAAAAAAAAAACTAATTATTCCTTTCATTTTCAAAACATCGTATTAGATATTTGAATCCACGTCCAACAGTCATACGATCTTCCTGTTTCAGAATAGTATCGATTTTCCATCGACTAAGGTTTAAAGCGGATTTATTGCACGTGACACGATCGTGCGTGCACAGTATCAGTGATGCATCGGAACGCGAGGTATTTTGAATGGAAAAAGAACGAGAAAAGTACGATTCTCGAGCGCCAATACGAGCAGGAGATCGTTTGCGTTTGCGCCGCTAGGATGTTGTCCTAGGTCAGGTCTGGCGAGCATGCTCTGTCGCGGATGATCGATAATGACGGCACCGGCTAATACCATCAGCTGATTGGTTGGTCATATGCCAAAACGTTCTGACTCGTCAGGTGGTTTCATTCAGCTTTTCCACTTACTTTCTCGCTTCTATAGATTCACGTTCAATTACACACGAAAAAGAAAGAAAAGTCATTGGGTATATAACGTAAATGTTGATGAAACATCAATTTGGAGAAGAGAAAAGCAAGAGAAATTATGATTGTTAAAATAATCTGTTTCAATTATGTAATTCTATTAATGCTATTGATAAGAATATAGTGCAATAATGTATAAAATATATATGTAGCTTATAGTACAAAATAAAATGTCTATAAAAATGTGAGATTGTGAAGAAAAAAAATGGAAAGCTTAAAGGTGTCTTTTTGAGAACGTCTGGCTGATTCTAGCATAGGAACGTGAACTTTTATTCTCGAACAATGGGGCGTGTCGCTGATAGAATATAAATTCAAACTTGGTCGGTGAATTATCATGCATCTCTCGCGGAAGTATCAGCGCTAACTAGGATGCTATTCCCGTCAGCTGATTGGCTGGAGATATGTCAACTAATAGTCAAGCCTGACCTACTTTTCCTGGCTGGTTCCATTCAGCTTTTCGTGGACCCACCCCTTGGAAAGCTACCCTATTGCGTCACAAGTATCGAACGTTCCGATGACTGCACCAAACTCTCTGCACGTATACGCGTCTGCGCTTGTGTGAAAGTTCACACGTCCACCCACGCGTTGGGAAACACGTACACGCCCACGTGAACATAAACAGACACTACCGGAAAATTTTCCAGCTGACGCGACACTTCGTGTGATTCGTAGAACTTTTTTTTCTTGTCTTTCTTTTTTGGAAGATACTTTGTACCCTCTTTTTGTGGAATCGTTACATTCGTTATATCGGTTACTAATTACGAATTGTAATTGGCTTAATTATTTCAGGAGAATAGTGAAAATTATTAACAAGAGGAATTTTTAAATTTTTCTAGTTTATCGGGGGTAGCAGAGATTAATTAAAATCTGATAACAGGTTCTTTATATTTTTTTCGCGTTTTTTCCCAGATGTAATTTAGACGAAGCATCTGGAATATAAATAGGACACCGTTTCCAGCTGAGTGAAAAATGCTACACTCCGTCACGTTTATCTCACAATCTTTGTAAATTTTCCCTTCCCCTCCCTTTTCCGCTCAACGGACGAAGAAATTGAGTAGGAGACTATCATTTTAGGCAAAATGTCGTGAAAAAACTCGATCTCTCGATAATCACTTTTCGAAGAAAAATGTCTTGATCAGTAAAATTTTCGATCAGTCTCCTTTTTCTGTATAAGAGAAATTAGCCGATTCATAAATGTGTTAAACGTGACGGTTAGCATGGCAGTGCAGAAAGTGACCTGTGACATTTATTTACAGGTCAGGCAATGCACACTCGCGGCCACGTTTGCGCGTAAAAATAAAAGGTTTGACGTAAGGAACTTTACATTACCAGGCTGACTTTAAAATAATTGATCATGGTTCTGACGTATCGTGGAACGTCATCGTCGACGTCATTTAATTAATGGCCGACGATCTCACGAGACCGCGGAACGGAACGCTATAAATATCCATCGATAGCCTTCGATAAGGAACTATTGACTTTCGATTGTAATCGAAAGGTGTATGCAGTAACCTATACAGGTTGTTTCATATGTAGCGAAAGAAAAAGAGAAAAATGTCGACATACAGAATTTCTACCGAACGTTCCATTTTTTAACATACGATATACAGGGTGTCTCGTGTAACAAGGTAGAGCTATGTATGTTAAATAAATGTTTCAAAAATATAATTCCGCCCAGTTGCGCAAAACACACTGTATACGATGTAAGAATTATTCCCGGTAAAGTGACCAGAGCAGTCGGTTAACATACTCCGCTGATCACCTTCGATAACGACAGCCTCTCCAAGTCGTATTGAACCGACTTGGTCGTCAAGTCAACCGCCGTTTCTGCTGAGGGCAACGCCCTCGCCAGCCCTCTCATCCCCATTCAGAAGAAACGTCGAAGAAAAAGAGGGATGTACCGAGTAAGAGGACGGGAAGGGCGAGCTCTCTCGTAGGGGTGGGAATTACGGGCGGGTTACAGAGTCGATTGCCTGTTCCTGCCTGTTCCACAGGTGAATTCGCCTTAACATATCCCGTGAAACCCGCTCATATCAACGATGAAAACATCATGTAACTGTCTCGTAAACAGTATATGTATGTAGCTTGTGAATTTTGTGAACAAACACGGGTAGAGGGTTACTAGCTAATTCCATCATTTTTTTTTAACAATATTTTCTACTTTCTTTCCGTTTGTATTCTTTAATAACCTAAAACTTTACAGTTCGTTATTTTGTCTCAACTTCTCTTCATGTGATTATATCAACTATGAAAACAACATGATATAACTATCTTGTAAACAGTGTATGCATTTTGAAAATACCGTAAAGCGAACATGAGGAGAGAAAATAGTAGCTAACGCGACGATAATTTCTACTTTATTTCCTATTGCATTCTTTAATAACCTCAAACTGTAAAATTCGATATTTTGACTTACCTTCTCTTCACTTGCGCCTGTACCGACTGCTGAGTGGATGTTGGAGACTGGTATGAAGTTGTCGACGGTTTCACGGTTGTCGATCCAGTGATCGCAGACTTCTCTGACCTCTTTCGACGATATTCATTCAAGTAGTAGCGGGAGTCTGGAGGAAAGTCCCATACCTGGGGCATCTCGTCACCTAGTGCGTTAACCAGAACCTTGCCGTAGCTGTAACAGAAATAAATCATTCCATTTAGTAATCTGGTTTTATGTGAAATTTTAGAGGTATCATTTTATCTTTATTATATGACACTTACTCGTAGTTCTTGTCGTATGGAGAATAAGAATCGCGATCGTAGATGGGGTTATTGGGTATGTTAGAGCGTGGTGATTTCTCTTCTTCGGCGAGAACTGCTTTTAGTCCACCTAATCCTGATGCAGCTAAAGTTCCTAAAATAATGAAATAGTTATAAGTACTAATTTTATTAATTAGAAATATATTGTTGATAAATGGACGTTTACTCTTTTCTGCATTCGACGAATAAGACGCGCTAGGGTTGCTCTCCGCCTGGCGATTCTGTTGGTTGCCAAACATCAGCATCTCCTGTGCTCGTTTAGCTAAAACAAAATAATATTTTTATAGCAATTACAAATTTTTCATTATCGTCCTATCATTTTATCCCGCACTGTAATTATCACCTATAATCTTAAAATTCTAAGAAAATATCTCTTACGTTTTGGTCTCATCGTTTGTTCAGTCTTTTTCGCGTCGTCTGCCATATTCGTTGGCAAAGACTGAGCCATCGCGAGGAGGGAGCATAGAGCCAGTAATTTTAGCCAGGGAAACATCATCTGAAAAAGAATAAATTGGTTCCTTTGTCATGAAGGACAAAAATTTTTTCATTTTTTTTTCTTATGACAAAGAATACAGTTGTTATAATGTGTTTCTTTCGTGTACACAGGTCGAAGTTTACAGTCGTCACGAGCACAGGCAAATAAAGACAGCAGGTCACTCTATGAAAGAAGCTTAAATGTCACATAATGCGAAATGTCAGGAATCTATTTCCATTGCATGTGAAAGATTAACGGACATACATGTTGGAAGTTCCATAAGAGATTGCCTCGAGTATTTTTTACAATTTCGTGAAAATCTAAGTCCCCCACAGGGATGATCTAAGTCTATATCTTTGAGAATTGTTCATCACTTGGGGCTAATTGAAAAGTTTCATGACTCTAGATCTTGTTCTACAACCACGTAAACGTATAGCTTCCCAAACTTTTTATTTTTCAATAAATAAAAAATGAATTTAAGTAAAACAATTTACAGGAAGTGAAACAGATTTATAGTTTGTATGTTCCAGGGAAGAGATGCTTGAAACTCTCCTAGCCTTATCAAGTGACGCTGATAATTTAATTACGAACTCTCCGCAACACACGAACAATTAGTTTACGTCGACGCACCGTGTACAAGGGAGTTATCGCTAATTAGTTATGTAATTAACTAAATCTCAACAGAGGCAGCGGCTTTGAAACTCATAATCGACTGTTCGTAATGGACATTCCATTAGTTCGAAATATCAGGGTTCAAAGGGATATTTTAGTTACATACGTGTGATTTAATTTACGTTCTTATAGGAATATCATAATTCTTTTCCTTCATTCATAAGAATATTTATATTTTTGTTTCGTTAATACTTTATCGAAATATTAGCAAGATCAACAAGCGAAAAAAAATGTTTGTAATCTGATACGAGCGATAAAACGATGCAATTAAAGCTGGCCAGGAAATAAAGCTAAACCGGATATAGTAGACCCAGAAATCGCACACTTGTTGCGTCTAGAAATACTATAGTCATTTATCGCGTTTGTATACGCGTCTATGCAACTCGCAATTAAAAATACATTTCATTCACTGTGCTTTCATTGACAAAACCAAAGATGAGCGAAGCATCGACATTACTTTCACAAAACCAATTAAATTAAATCCTTAATGCTTATAACCTAAAGTACCTAAATAAATTCCGAACCTTTCAGGAATAATTTCAAGCAACTCCAGACTTACTCCTTTCAAACCAACAAATTTTAGAACATGATGAAGTTCTATTTAAAACCAGGGGTTCAAGGAAGTAAAATTATACCCGATAAGAAATCTACTCGGACAAGTCCCTATTCTTACCCTTCTATTTATACGCGAGCAATTTTAGCGGGTCTTTATCTCACACGAAACTTGGACAATTAAATCGATCGAAGGATTCGAATTTTTTCTCAGAAAGAACTAACAAGGAGGTCTAAATAAAATTCATATAATATCGAAAGACAAGTTTCTTCACCTTTGTCAACGATTGTCTCTTCAACTGTTCTCTCTGTTCCAGGTGTGTTCCGGTCGGTATTCTTCGACTTCCTGCCGTGAGAGGATGATGCATAGAACTGGCGAGTTCGGCTGATCGAGGTAGAATGAACGTCGGGGCTGAGCAGGACGGCTAGAAAACCGGCGGAGGGTACGGTCGATCAACCACCCCCACCTTAGTGAACGGTAGGCGCCCCTACCCTGAAAAGCAACCCCTACCGAGCCTCCACGAGGTGATATGACGTGCACACGCGCGCCACAAAACGTGTATACACACACTAGCTATTGTGCGCCACGAAATACGTCTGCCCACGCGATGACCCAAGCCGGATCCTCCGGCTATCCTTGAAATCTTTTCTTCTCTGTCGCATCTTCGTCCCTTATTGTTTTAAGAATTCGTCCTTTGAGAAGAAGTTCCCTTCAGTGGCGTCCTGTTTCAATTAAGCTTCATTTTCCTTAGCTGCAATTTGCTCTGTGTAATTTTTTATTAATACTGAAAGGTTTTATCAATGGATACTATGTTCGTGATCCTAGTTTCACTTTTATGAAGTTGTTTTATTTATAGTACTTTTGAAGTTTTTATAAGTACAGGTTGTTTCAGAAAAATATGAACATTTATATGGAGAATTTGTACATGTATATGTTTTAGACTCTGACAGAAAATTGTGATTGTAACAATGCTGAAAAGAATGTGTCCCAGGGCTCTGGGAACTACTTGGACAAGATTCCAAGAATGTGTTGACAATGATGGTGATAAAGTAGAGACTCTTCGAAGACAAAGTACATGTGTTAATATGATACACTATGTTATCAGTTCTATTTCTCTGAAGAAGTTACTTCTCATAAGTATTATTTAATATAATATTAAAATACTCATAAGTATTATTTTTCTTTATTCAAAAATGTGATAAATTTTTCAAAAGAATTATACTGTCTAACCCTACTGCGTTCTTCGTTTTGACTGCACACTTCAAACTTTTGGGTCAAAAAGGACCTAAGACCTTATGTGTAATAATTTTTGTTTCCAACACGACATATAAACCTAGACAATAAACGTTTAAAATAATGTTAAGGAACGTAAACTTGATAACAGCAAAAGTTACTAAAAGTATAAGAAGGCGGTGGGTCAAAAAAGACCCGAAGACTGCTCTAGGGTTAAAATAAGGGTTACAAAACAAGTTAAATCCTTGCTCATTATGAATAAATGAGTGTGTAAATATTTATAAACGATAATGTAAGTATTAACATTTTTTTTAAGCATTCTGTATACGATAACGTGGATTCTCCTTTATTTTAAGGGAGTTAGAAAAATTCCTACATAGTTCTCGTAATTGATCTGTCGTTAAACGCTCGATTCTGAGAAAACGTGGGCTAATTAAAACTTCTCTTCCTGGGATTCGATCGAACTGCGCCGTTTATGCAATCCACTTCCACAATCTTGTATGGAAAGAAAAATTCTCTCTTGAATTAATTACGATTCAATTCACGTTTAAAATCCTATTTTCATATCTAACATTCTATTAATCTATTCAGCTTGCAGATTGAGGAAGAAAGGAAGGAAACAGCGTAATCCGTAATTAAAACAAGCCCTCTCGATGTCAATTCATTGAACGAACGCTCTCGACGAATAATATTTTCCCAAGTTTATATCGCGGCTCGTTCTCTCCAAATTCTCGGCGCAAATTCGTATTTCTCTTCACGTCTGGAACACCAGCTACTGGCACAGAGGAGGCTGGAGGGTTGCGGGGAAGGAATTGTAGCAGCGTTTTCCGTATTCAGTCCCCGGCCACTTTTCTTCAGCCCCCGCAACAGGCCGTACGCCTACGCCAGCGTATAACGCCCACGAACACCCACGCATGTTTTCCATCGTGTATGAGAAAGAGAAAAAGAAGAAGAAGATAGAGAAGAAGGGTGGATATCTAGCGACGTGCGAAGTTTTGCTACTTCATTCTTCCCCTCTCCTCTCTATAACCACACTGACGTCTTATGACAAAACATTTATCGTCCAAGAGCATCCTTGAAATATTTACGACATGGTATATTCGAGACACCCTTGAATTCCATGGTGTTTTCCTCAAACTGTCACTCGAGCAACCCTTTGGTGAATGATTGCACGGATTCGACGTGTTCGACGAGCGGGAAAGAATTGCTTTTCAGCGTGGAAGGAAATGAAAAGTCACATGATTAAATTGGGTATAATTTATGGTTATAGTTCACGTCTCTTTTAATTTGACACGTTTTCACCGTTTTCAGATGGTAAAGCAGAATGTCGAAGGAGGTGTACAGCATGGGATTAAACGTAATTCTCTGAGGAGGTGAATTCTTGGAGGCAACCGATCTTTAGTAAAGTGTTTACTTGAGATACGACGCATCCCGACACCGCACCACGTATCTCCGTAATTGACCTATTTCTAAAGAATCGGCCGCACGCTTGCGCGAATTCAAGTAGTTGCACAAAAACAACCGCGCTCTCGGCTTTTTTGCGAGCTAACGACGCGACGTTCTACCAGGTAGTACGGGGCCGAGTACAACGGCTGCTCCACGATACGGATCACCTTAATAGATGCAATCGCTGCATAATGACGATAAGAAAATACCTTCATCGTTTAATTTTCTTTTTTGCTCGAACTCAGTGGAAGAGAATCATTAATCTAACATCGTTTATTTAACCCTATTGTCAAGACATAGTGAAAAAAAGTCGAATTTTTCCAAACAACTTTTTCCAATGTTAGCTGAGTATGACGAGTTAAGGGGGTATTCTAATCTATACGTCGTAAATTTTGGCTATATCCAGAATCTTTTTTTCAGTGTTCTACAATGGGTAGCAATGTCAAACTTTTTTCATATATTAAGGCAGTTATAAAGCCTGTTAAACAATTTTTTAAATAACTTTTCCATTGTTTTTTTTAATGCTATATCTGGAGATAAAGAGAGCGCCTTTAACAAAAACAAGCCTCGCTGGCGGAAGTGATTTCAGCTCACAGACTCATCCAAAACAAAAATATCAAGAAAATTTACAATAAGTATGAGTGCTGTTATTACAGGTATCAGAATTAACCATATAAGTCAAAATTGAACAAAATGACGTGCATTCAAAGTTTAAGTTTCTCGACGTAAAAAATATGAAATTTTCAACATAGAAATGTAAATGCGATACCTGCAACAGCCAATGGTATGTAGACTGACTTGTTAAAATTTCAGATTGATCGGTTGTTAGTTTCTTTTATTTTACTTTCGTCAGTTGAAAAAAGTACGTTTCGAGAAAAACACGTTTAAAGTTTTTCATGTGATATACGTTCTTGTGACTAATCGGCAATGCCAGAACATATTTATTCATTTGCGATGTATCACTGCACTATACAGTCACAATAAAAAGGGTTATACTACTGTGTTACTTCACGTCAGAAAGGGATAGTACAATAGAAACATATAGAGATGAGCTAGGTATTGCCGAAGCGGTGAAGGTAGTGCCGTTTACTACAAAAGGCTGTAAAAGCCAAAATACTTTGAATTTTACTACAAAAATTTAACAGAACATTCTTGAAAGTTCATACCTCCGAAAAATAAAATAAGAAGAAATCGTTTTATAGCTGCCTGCATAAAGGGTGTTTTTAGTTCACGAATAACCCAGTTAACAGGTTAAAAAAAAATACAATTATATTTTGTTTATTGAATTATTATTAATTTATATATATAAAATGTTAATGAGTGACTATAGTCATTCTCAGTAGCGAAAGGGTTAGGGTTACTACGATATGAATTACACCTGCGTTCCATTCCATGGCGAGTTTTGCAAAATACGAAAGGTCAGAGGGAAGGGAAGCACGCGATCGTTGTTAATTTTTACCCAAGTATCGGGAAAAATTAACGCGACACCCTCGACCTCCGTCAAAGGAGATGCTCTTTCCTCGAACTTAAGAAAACAACTGGTCACCATAACCTCTACGATAGTATTATCTTCTCTTTTTTTTTTTTTTTTGAAGAATGGAAAAGTTAATTTCCGCGAAATCTAACTGGAAGCCTGATTATTCCACGGAGGATATCAACCGAACCAGAGAGAGGAGCCAACCGTCGCTGTAATTACGGGGCGAGTTTCTGTAAGATAATATAATTTGACATGCTCGACCCGAAGGTTGGTTCCCATTGACGTCAGCCGTTGATTCTGGAAACGACGAATCCCCGTGCTTCGAGAGCCCACTATGGTGGGGGAACGTACATACGCGCCGTGAGGAAATGATTCGAAGGAGGGGAGTGTGGATACATCCAGGGACGTTGTACAAGCACCGCAAGTCCAGGACCAAAATAATTTTCCAGTGGATAATGATCGACGGTTAAATATTTGTCTTTATCGATGATGATGATCGAGTCAAGTGTCGAATCGTTGAACTTTAAGCCTCGTACGAAGATTCCGATTGTATCTCTATCGGGATCTTATAAAAGTCTGAGTCATAATTATAGAAATTCTCGAGAGCTTAATCCTGTGGAAATCTCTGCTAAATAATTTCTTTTTATAGTTGGAGTGTTTGATTCACTTCAAGAAAACAATTACATTTGAGAGATGAAGAATTAAAGTAGATATTTTTATTATTCGTAATATTGGAAGGTGAAGTATGTAATTTAAAAATAACTCTATTGTTGTTTGGTAAAAGAAAAAAGTATTGTAGAGTTTAAGGATTTAGTGGAATAATCAAATTCAGTCACGTGACATGATTGTGTATGATCTATAAGCACAGTAGTATAAACCCGTGCTAGAACAGGCATTTCAAATTGTCGATACTACCCTGCGAAGTGGAAACTGTAACCAGTCGAGAAAAGGGGGTATCCCGAAGGAATAGATCGATGTTTCACTCTATGTAGTAAGAGACGCCTGTTGCTGTAAAACAGGAGTAGTTTCATTCATGAAAAGGGTAAAACGTGAACGTGTTCAGCCAACTTAGATTTTTGTGATAATTAAAATAGAAATAAAATTTCTTGATTATTTTTAAATATTTCTTCTTTTTTATATCAGAAAATATTTGTATTTTTCGTTTGATAACAATTGTATAATAATTATTCATGGGGAATCACTTGATTTTACGATACATATTTTTATAATACCAAAACTGCATGTTTTTAAATTGTTCGTATACGAAATTATCCGTTTTGTCGCTTTATTGCGATACCAATTTGTAAATATTATATACTTGAAAATATCGCATATAAACTTTATCTTAAATTTTGTTTACCAACTTACACTTTTATAAAGTAATCAGCATTTTATCTTTAACCAATATTTTTGTTTAATGCCAATTATTTTACGAATAAAATAGTAATTCAATTTTTACACGTAAAACTAAACAATTCTGAGTTTGAGTAACTTAACATAAAAAATTTTGGAAAAAAAAGATACAAATAACTGATATCCTTAGAAAATATTGAATTTAACAATGTAAAGTTTAGGTTTTAATGCTATTGTTCAGAACTGAATCAAGATGGCAGTGGTATTGTCATTTCCCGTTTAGTAAATTTAACTTGTAAATACGTAATAGTTACATCAGCGGTATCAATTGTATAGTCGACTTGTTCGCAAATTGTGGTCACCGAAAAAAACACATAGAAGTGGATTTTTCCAGGTTGAAAAGAAAGGTGGCGAAAACAGAAGAATACCGCAGACTGCCGTCTGCAGGACGTTTATACATGACGATATCACTGCCTCTTGTGACAATATGCGACAATGAAAAAAAAAATTCTTAGGCATATTTAACATTGATATAAATAGTTATATCAAATAATAGAAACATTCTGAGGGTTATATGATATTGGTTGATAATTGTGTTATCGTAGTTGGTATAATAATAAAAAAAAGTAAATAAACAGTATAAAATGGCGAGTCAATCGTATAGTATTTTCGAATATTATGGTGAACAAGAAAGATATAAATGTGGTTATTGTAACAATCCTAACACAAATTACAGTCATGGCAAGTGTTATAATGTTAGAAACTTTATTGTAATTTGTTTTACTGATGCATATACAATCTTATACTTTTGACAATAGGTTATGTCATTCCATGACAGCTTCATGTATATATAATGTTTGTTGCTGTCATGTTAATTTTTTGCAAATTAAAACACCTTTATTATTTAAATGTTATCTCTTTCTTCTTAAATATCATATGTTTCAGGTATGGGTGCACATACATTAACTGTTCAAGATTACCAAACTTTAATAGATAGAGGTTGGAGAAGATGTGGTTCTTATTGTTACAAATCTATTATGGATCAAACATGTTGTCCACTGTATACTATTAAGTAAGATAAATAATCTTAAATTGCTTTGCAAGTGTGATTCTATCACAAATATAAAATTTTTTGTATCCCTAAATATTTATCCTAGATGCGAGGCACTGCAATTTAAAATTTCCAAATCACAGAAAAAGATCCTAAAAAGAATGGCAAAATTTTTAAGAAATGAATTGCAAAAAGATGATAGTATGGATACATATGAGGAAGATCATCGTGATAATATAGGTAAAGCTACTCAAAACTGTACCTCGCATTCTTCTAATACTCATGAAATCAATTTATATTACAGATATTGGAGAAGCCTGTAATCATAGTAAACGTGTTCTAAAAGCTGAAGAAAATATTTCTAACATAAATGTGAAATTTATTGATGATGAAGTTAATGGAAGATTACAACCAAATGTATCAGATAAAGGAAAACAAAACTGTGATTCAGGCATGAAAAAGAAAAATTCTGAAAGTGTACCTGTTGTATCAAGTCACAATAATGATTCCCATGGTACATCCCAAAGTTTACAGTCAGTAGAAATGAATTCTGCTCAAAAACCTTGTATGAAAGCAAAACTTTTACGTAAACAACGAAAACAGAATAAGTTATTGGCTCAAGGAAAGTCACAAGAAGAAATAGATGCTATGTTCAAAGAAAACAAGCAAGAGAATCATGCTAAAAGTTTAGAGGAATTATTTGATGAAGTATACAGTGGGAACAGTAGATTGGAGGTAGGATATCTTTTTTCAAATATCTCACTAAATGTTGCATGCAAGTATTTTTTATAAAAGTTGGTCCCCTTTCCTCCAATTTCGAAATTAGGATGGCATTTTGTAAAAAATTAAAGGCATCTTTACTGCTTCATACTTTTGCAAATACTCAGTTCAGTTATAGTATTTAAATAGTTCAATTTGACTATTACTCTGATACAGTTACATGAAATTTATGACTTTTGCTAGCTAAAACTAGTTAGAACTTCATCAATGAGCTCTGGATATTTAGAAACCTCAAAACAATCTTATGAAGTATATAAAAAATATCAAACAACAATAAATGGAGTTCTAGCAGACAAAGTTACAGAGAAGCAATATAGAAGATTTCTTATGAAATCACCTCTACAGGTAATTTTACAATTTCTATGGTTTTCTGTTGATCTTAAGACATTATCTGCAGAGAATTGTAATACTTACTTCACTGCTTCTTCATAAAACATAATATCATACATAATTACAATTACATTAAATGATTCTATAACAGTATTAATTAAATATAAAATATACAACAGAAAGTTTTACTGAAAAATAAAACATTAATGTTTTATTGGAGCAAAGTGGACCTTCGTGAAATGTATGCGTTATATACTTTGTTTATAACAAACAAATTATCTCTTAAATTCATCAGATGAAATTGGTGAGAACAATGTCGGACGAGTTTATTAAAACGCTTAAAGTAAGTGCAAAGCTTTTCAAAAAATATCAAATGACCATTTATGATGAAACAGAAGAGGAATCAGATGAAGAATCATTCTTCAGATTTCTCGTAAAAAGCCCTCTACAGGTACATTTTGTGTTTTGTGTTTCCCATTTCATTTTATAAAAATAACACTTTTACATGTTGCTAATCAATGTATTAGACGTTTAAAAAATTATGTATGATATTGTTGATATTGTATCATTTCTGCTTGCTTCTCAATTAA